CTGCCTTGTAGGTCACACTTGGTTGTGTAAAGGCTAGAGTTGCACTCTCAAACAAAAGGCCGAGTGGTTCTGGGGACATCACTCGTACCAAATTCCCATGAAACTTCGTAAACTCTCTTCATCAGATCGCTGCGCCTGGGTAGCGATGATTTGAAAAGTTCATGAAGCCGGCTCATCCTTCCGTAGGAGATAGCCGAAGCAAAGTAAGTAAGTAAGTAGACGTGATATCCGGCTATTGACCAAAGGGCGTATGTGCTGTTCAGCAGTCCGCTCCGTCCTCCTTTATGGCTATAAGACCTGGCCATTGAGAGTGGAAGACATGAAAAGACTAGCTGTTTTTGATCATAGGTTTCTGCGTTCTATCTCCGGTGTTAAGTGGTACAATAGGGTGAGCAATATTGAGGTAAGGCATCGGTCGAGTGCTACGTAGGGAGGGGAAATCAGTCGACGAGGTTGTGTATTTACACCGATTGAGAGAGATGGTTAGGACATGTGTTACGCATGCCTAGCCTAACCATTACCTTCCTCGACGGGCAATGTTAGTTGACATGGGATCACATTGGAAACGAGTTGGCTAGTGATGGTCAAACGAAAACATGGCTTCATCAGCCAATGAAATCCACAACAGTTAGTTTAAGCTAGCCACGTAGGGAGGTGTCGATCGCTGTCTCGTTGGGGTCCTCAGGATGGTAAAAACCAATGAAGGCTGGAGACAATTGGTGATATGGCTGAAAATCGTTGTCACTGACTGGTGCAGATGCATTCACTCTTTGTGATTTGTCATATCCCATAAAAGTCTATTGTTCTACCATATTATCATTCTTTTTCTCTCACACTTGTTTATTATCTCTCTCTCTCTCTCTCCTCTTTTGAATTTCTGTTTTCTCTCTTCTCTTGCTTTTTGTACTGCGTGGAGGGAGTGTGGCTACTCGAACTGCTGCACATCGGCGCAAAGTTCTATGTTGAAACCAGTCAGGCAGCTACATTTCGAAGAAGCTCAGGAAGGTGTAACAGACGTCATGATACTACGATTGTGACAAAGGTAATAGGTAAATGAAGATTGAAGATACTTAGAATCTCGGAAAGTATAAAGAGTAAATATTTCAATACTATAGTGATTTCCATATGTACCTCAATCTCTAGTCTAATTAGGCGACTTACATTAACCTAAGTGGTTTAGATCAACAATCAGTAAGTTCGTAAGTTAATATAATGTATTGGTGTGATCTCTCCTAACTCTATGCCAAACTAATCCTACTTTATTAATATATGTGTGAAACTTGGGCACTGTGGTAGTAAGTAATTCCATATTAGTTTGTTTATTAGGTATATCACACAGTGAAACAGTATTATTTACTGGATGACGTTTCGAACAAAATTTATTGTTCATAATCATATCAATTGTGATCACACGACTTTGACACTTGAGTTTTATAGCTTTCTTTGTTTTCTCCTATTTGTCGTAGGGGGAGTAGAATTTTCCAGATATCTGGGACAGGTGATGAATCATTCCTATTACATGTATTTGCAGTTGATTCGATAAACAAAGCTTCTGTTATCAATCTCTCCCTATACCCTGTGACATTAGATTTTAAAACTGTCATCCTATCCCATCCTATTGTATGGTTGTGTGTGACTGCATGTAGTGCTATAGCTGAACTATTCTCTAGATTTCTTATTTTATTCGGGTCAACCAATCTAGATTTTGCTAAGTTTTTATGTTCAGCTAGTCTGACTGCCCCTGTTCTACTAGTTTGACCTATGTATTTGACCTGACAATCATTGCAGGCAGGGTATTAGATAAACTAAATTGTTTTGTTTTAAAGGCTCTACAGGATCCTTTAGCCGACAAAGCTTGTTTCTAATTGAGTTTGTGGGTTTGAATGCCGTTTTTATTCCTGCCTTGTTGAGAATTCTGCGTAAGGCTTCCGAGGTTCCTTCCTTGTATGGAATTACTACTGATGATTTAGACTCTTTATTGTTGGTGTCGTCATCAATATTATTATTATTGTCACTATTATTATTATCATTATTATCACTATCGCTATTATCATTATTTATTTTATTTTTACATTTCCTTACATATTTCCTGACTAATTTATCCGGGTAATTATTAAGTTTCAAGGCTTCTTTTATATGCATCAGTTCTTGGTTTAGATTTTCTTTGGTACTACTTAATTTTTGTGCTCTGTCATTTAAACATTTCACCAATCCTATTTTTACTGACATAGGATGGGATGATCGGAAGTCCAAATATCTGTTTGAGTGTGTGGGTTTCCTGTAAACACTAGTGTTTAACTTCCCATCTTCTTTCCTCTTTACCTTGCAATCTAACATTGGGAGCTCCCCTTCCTGATTTTCCAATTCATAAGTGAATTGAATTGCCTCAACCTTCGAGTTTATGTGTTCGAAAAACCTATCTATATCTTGTGTTCTAAGTACAGTGAATGTGTCATCAATAAAAAGGAAAGAAGATGGGAAGTTAAACACTAGTGTTTACAGGAAACCCACACACTCAACAGATATTTGGACTTCCAATCATCCCATCCTATGTCAGTAAAAATAGGATTGGTGAAATGTTTAAATGACAGAGCACGAAAATTAAGTAGTACCAAAGAAAATCTAAACCAAGAACTGATGCATATAAAAGAAGCCTTGAAACTTAATAATTACCCGGATAAATTAGTCAGGAAATATGTAAGGAAATGTAAAAATAAAATAAATAATGATAATAGCGATAGTGATAATAATGATAATAATAATAGTGACAATAATAATAATATTGATGACGACACCAACAATAAAGAGTCTAAATCATCAGTAGTAATTCCATACAAGGAAGGAACCTCGGAAGCCTTACGCAGAATTCTCAACAAGGCAGGAATAAAAACGGCATTCAAACCCACAAACTCAATTAGAAACAAGCTTTGTCGGTTAAAGGATCCTGTAGAGCCTTTAAAACAAAACAATTTAGTTTATCTAATACCCTGCCTGCAATGATTGTCAGGTCAAATACATAGGTCAAACTAGTAGAACAGGGGCAGTCAGACTAGCTGAACATAAAAACTTAGCAAAATCTAGATTGGTTGACCCGAATAAAATAAGAAATCTAGAGAATAGTTCAGCTATAGCACTACATGCAGTCACACACAACCATACAATAGGATGGGATAGGATGACAGTTTTAAAATCTAATGTCACAGGGTATAGGGAGAGATTGATAACAGAAGCTTTGTTTATCGAATCAACTGCAAATACATGTAATAGGAATGATTCATCACCTGTCCCAGATATCTGGAAAATTCTACTCCCCCTACGACAAATAGGAGAAAACAAAGAAAGCTATAAAACTCAAGTGTCAAAGTCGTGTGATCACAATTGATATGATTATGAACAATAAATTTTGTTCGAAACGTCATCAGTAATCCTACTTTAGTTAACATTACTTACCACCTATTTAATAAAGGCTTACAACCTCATCGGACGATTTATACTGAGTCAGTCCTTATCGTTACTCAGTATATTATTGCACATAGCATAGGCGATTGAAGAAAGACCTTTAACAAAATCCTCTATATTTCTTATACCTTCGACTTCCGACAGAGCAAGCTGCTGTGCATTACGTACATTTTTTGGTGGATAGCTAGATACCACGACAGCAACAAAGGTGGCATGTTGGCAAATTCCAGAACAAAAGCTTTTATCGTAGCTTTTTTTTAAACAAGTGAATCGGTCACCTGTTTGATTATTTCATTGTCAGTTTTTAAACTAGGAGTCAGTGCAGATCAATCTTATATCATAATCTTATATTTGATAAGCCTTAACTGCGTACTAAAGACTCAGATTTTAGTTCGGTATGGTCAGAAGACTGCATTTTTTCAGCATCTTTATTTAAGAAGACTATATTGCTTGCGTACTGTAAATTCTTAAGATAGTAATGTAAACTAGAACCAAATCCACGAGTCTTCCTACTCTAAAATTAACTAACTTTATATGTTTGGTTTTCTTAATTTAATTGAACTGCTGGCGATTTACCAATAAACTACAAAATTCATTTACAGGTGCTACTGAATGATACGACTGCTACTTCTATTGTCCGATTCAATAAGCATTTCTATGTTGGTTTTCAGGAGTTTGGTTGATTTTGAGTTAGACCACTAAGTAACATAAGTTAAAGAACCAGGGAGTACTGAAGAGCCGTTTCCACTTAGTTCAAGACTCATCCGCAGCACGCACCCGTGAACTTAGTAGGGGTTATGAGACAAGCCTGTTGAACATTCAGCTACTAGGAGGGGGTTCAGTGGCTAGTAAATGCAACCTACTACGAATTTACAATACATAGCACCACTGTCAGCCAATGTAACCGGGGAATGTTAGTTATCAAACCTGACTTGGTGGATATCTGACTGGTCACGAATTCGATCCCTAGTGGAGTCGTTGGTGCATACTACTAAAGAGTCCCAAACTACGACGAAACGACTATCCACTCCTCTCTGGTTTCCAATGATCCTCTGATTGGTACCAGTTTATGATCTAACTTGGAATTTTCAGAGATTTTTGCAGAATGAGAAATGAAGATATTCAAAACTTTACTACGCTTAAAGATAATAAATTATATCAATCCATCGCATTGCTGATAGCGTGCAAATGTCAGACTAATACACTGATATTTTAGTCTCTTAGAGAGTAATTTTAAATTAATTAGAATCATTTTCTCTAATAAATACCTCAGTTGTCATATGCATTTCGATGCTTTTTCACCGCTACTGTTTACTGGTGCTTATGTCCATGTAACATTATATAAAAGGTTAATATGTTTATCTGGCTTATGTACATGGTACTAAGTCTAATTTTATATTTAAGAAATTGCAATTCGCTAAAATTCTTGTTATCGTAATTGTTTGTGCTTTTCTTATTCTTTCAGACTGAATGGATCTATGAACTCTCTTACTCGTGGATGCTGCTTATTATTAATGACCTAGTTCGTTTTTCAAAGTTCCATGCCTCGATTGTCTTTGTTCGCAATTTTCCCAGGTGTTTTCCACTCACATTTATCAACACTGTCACTTATATCTGGTCTACCATTAGATGAACAGGCCCCCACTTCACAAGATGTTGGGCTTCATTTTTGGTTGAATCGTTCTTCTGATCTGAATTTTTCGGATTTCGATGGATTTAATGGCAGTGACGTGGCTAATGTATCTTATGACTTAAAGGAATTGTCTAACTCTGCTGAAAGTTTCATCTCGTTCAGAAATCAAGACTCATCGGACGCTTCGAGACTATCAAATTATCAACATCATATTGAAATAATATCTAATCAAGCTAAGAACAATGTCATGTCAGATAAGTCAGGAGGAAAAATTATGTTTGAGGTTGTAACTGCTGCGACAGCATCCGAAGAAGCTTTTCTTAACCGTTCATCTGTTTTGTTTGTGGCTGTTTCATTCATCCTCCTTATGGTGATCAGCTTAGCATGGCTTGTGTTTTATTATGTGCAGCGATTCAGATATCTACACAGCAAAGAACGAGTTTCTGTAAGTGGTTTTACAAAGTTATCATTAAATTTGGTTTTTAACTGATTCCCACGAACTGCAAAATATCCCTCAGATGCTTATATTGAAATACCACTTAGTGTGACGGAAATAACCGTCTGCCGAGAGTTTACTGTCAGTTATTGTGACTCCGCCTATCTCTAACATTTCAAGATTAGACATTCTGTGTACAATCTCTGTTTAGTGTAGAGAACATAAAATTATTTTCCTTGTTAAGTGTATGCAATTTAAGGAAAAAGGGTGGAATGCTTTGATACGCTAATCACATTTTCTATTTAAGGAGCCTAGTAAACTTGGGTGGAAGAATTTTGTTTGTTATTTGACAAATCGTATCTCAAATGGAACTGACAAAGTACGTGGCTTCTTATGAAGAAGTGTGATGCGTGATAGTTCGCCTTACTCTACTCCGTGTTTTTGAGGTTATAGTATGTTTTTGAAAGTGTTTCCGTAACTTCACACTCCTGTGTGGCAACCAGTGAACAGACGGTAGTGAGAGTTATCGTAAGCTTCCAGACATTGGTGGTGATCTAGGCCAAACAGGTGAAATCAAGTTAAACTTAAACTATCGCTAAATATCCCACTGTCCACTACCTGAATCATTAGATAGAAGAGCATTAGGTTGGTAGAACGTTTGTATAGCTAAAACAAAAATTGACACATTCACTTATTAGTTGTTCATTTGGGCTACTGGAGATCAGATTTTTCATGAATTATGACTTAGCAATCAAGTATAACTGTAAGACAAAATACTTGGCGATAAAACCGCGAAATACACATCTAAGTACGATGACTGTAACAATTTAAGTGGTCAAAATACACATTCTCAACATTAAATTTCATATTCCTGTTGATGCTACCAAGATATCAAAAAATAAGTGTCCATCGGAACATACACGGGTCATGTAACAGATAAAACCAGGAATTTATTCCCCATCTTATACTGTAAGAAATACACATTTGTGTGGTTTTCATTGTAATGGGATCCTTTTTCACGTGTGCACCATTAGTTTGATGTTGAAAATTTTTTTTAAGCCTTTTTAAAGGAAAGATTTATATTGACTGAAATAACGTTTTTACGAGTTGATCACGGACTGATATCAGCTAGAGAACCATTGAAAACCAAGGAGTACTGGACAGCTGCTGTTTCATCCTAGTTTGGGAATCATCGGCAGTACGCACCCACTGGGATTCGAACCCAGGACCTTCCGGTTACAAGGCAAGCTCGTATACCATTCAGCCACTGGGACCCGATTCAATGGCTCATGAATTCTAACTTCTACCAATTCGTGATTTTAGCGCCACCCCAACTATTGTCGTTGGTGGAAATCCATCCACTCGTGACTTCTAATTGGACCTCACTGGTCACGACTTCTCACTAGAACTGCAGGAAGCTCCAACCTGTAGCAAGTCACTAGCGAGCATCAGAATAATTATCTATAGTTTGGTTTGTAAGGATTAGTTATGTTTTTACGAGTTGATCACGGACTGATATCAGCTAGAGAACCATTGAAAACCAAGGAGTACTGGACAGCTGCTGTTTCATCCTAGTTTGGGAATCATCGGCAGTACGCACCCACTGGGATTCGAACCCAGGACCTTCCGGTTACAAGGCAAGCTCGTATACCATTCAGCCACTGGGACCCGATTCAATGGCTCATGAATTCTAACTTCTACCAATTCGTGATTTTAGCGCCACCCCAACTATTGTCGTTGGTGGAAATCCATCCACTCGTGACTTCTAATTGGACCTCACTGGTCACGACTTCTCACTAGAACTGCAGGAAGCTCCAACCTGTAGCAAGTCACTAGCGAGCATCAGAATAATTATCTATAGTTTGGTTTGTAAGGATTAGTTATGTTTTTACGAGTTGATCACGGACTGATATCAGCTAGAGAACCATTGAAAACCAAGGAGTACTGGACAGCTGCTGTTTCATCCTAGTTTGGGAATCATCGGCAGTACGCACCCACTGGGATTCGAACCCAGGACCTTCCGGTTACAAGGCAAGCTCGTATACCATTCAGCCACTGGGACCCGATTCAATGGCTCATGAATTCTAACTTCTACCAATTCGTGATTTTAGCGCCACCCCAACTATTGTCGTTGGTGGAAATCCATCCACTCGTGACTTCTAATTGGACCTCACTGGTCACGACTTCTCACTAGAACTGCAGGAAGCTCCAACCTGTAGCAAGTCACTAGCGAGCATCAGAATAATTATCTATAGTTTGGTTTGTAAGGATTAGTTATGTTTTTACGAGTTGATCACGGACTGATATCAGCTAGAGAACCATTGAAAACCAAGGAGTACTGGACAGCTGCTGTTTCATCCTAGTTTGGGAATCATCGGCAGTACGCACCCACTGGGATTCGAACCCAGGACCTTCCGGTTACAAGGCAAGCTCGTATACCATTCAGCCACTGGGACCCGATTCAATGGCTCATGAATTCTAACTTCTACCAATTCGTGATTTTAGCGCCACCCCAACTATTGTCGTTGGTGGAAATCCATCCACTCGTGACTTCTAATTGGACCTCACTGGTCACGACTTCTCACTAGAACTGCAGGAAGCTCCAACCTGTAGCAAGTCACTAGCGAGCATCAGAATAATTATCTATAGTTTGGTTTGTAAGGATTAGTTATGTTTTTACGAGTTGATCACGGACTGATATCTGCTAGAGAACCATTGAAAACCAAGGAGTACTGGACAGCTGCTGTTTCATCCTAGTTTGGGAATCATCGGCAGTACGCACCCACTGGGATTCGAACCCAGGACCTTCCGGTTACAAGGCAAGCTCGTATACCATTCAGCCACTGGGACCCGATTCAATGGCTCATGAATTCTAACTTCTACCAATTCGTGATTTTAGCGCCACCCCAACTATTGTCGTTGGTGGAAATCCATCCACTCGTGACTTCTAATTGGACCTCACTGGTCACGACTTCTCACTAGAACTGCAGGAAGCTCCAACCTGTAGCAAGTCACTAGCGAGCATCAGAATAATTATCTATAGTTTGGTTTGTAAGGATTAGTTATGTTTTTACGAGTTGATCACGGACTGATATCAGCTAGAGAACCATTGAAAACCAAGGAGTACTGGACAGCTGCTGTTTCATCCTAGTTTGGGAATCATCGGCAGTGACTTGCTACAGGTTGGAGCTTCCTGCAGTTCTAGTGAGAAGTCGTGACCAGTGAGGTCCAATTAGAAGTCACGAGTGGATGGATTTCCACCAACGACAATAGTTGGGGTGGCGCTAAAATCACGAATTGGTAGAAGTTAGAATTCATGAGCCATTGAATCGGGTCCCAGTGGCTGAATGGTATACGAGCTTGCCTTGTAACCGGAAGGTCCTGGGTTCGAATCCCAGTGGGTGCGTACTGCCGATGATTCCCAAACTAGGATGAAACAGCAGCTGTCCAGTACTCCTTGGTTTTCAATGGTTCTCTAGCTGATATCAGTCCGTGATCAACTCGTAAAACATAACTAATCCTTACAAACCAAACTATAGATAATTATTCTGATGCTCGCTAGTGACTTGCTACAGGTTGGAGTCTGCAGTTCTAGTGAGAATCGTGACAGTGAGGTCAATTAGAAGTCACGAGTGGATGGATTTCCACCAACGACAATAGTTGGGTGGCGCTAAATCACGAATTGGTAGAAGTTAGAATTCATGAGCCATTGAATCGGGTCCCAGTGGCTGAATGGTATACGAGCTTGCCTTGTAACCGGAAGGTCCTGGGTTCGAATCCCAGTGGGTGCGTACTGCCGATGATTCCCAAACTAGGATGAAACAGCAGCTGTCCAGTACTCCTTGGTTTTCAATGGTTCTCTAGCTGATATCAGTCCGTGATCAACTCGTAAAAACATAACTAATCCTTACAAACCAAACTATAGATAATTATTCTGATGCTCGCTAGTGACTTGCTACAGGTTGGAGCTTCCTGCAGTTCTAGTGAGAAGTCGTGACCAGTGAGGTCCAATTAGAAGTCACGAGTGGATGGATTTCCACCAACGACAATAGTTGGGGTGGCGCTAAAATCACGAATTGGTAGAAGTTAGAATTCATGAGCCATTGAATCGGGTCCCAGTGGCTGAATGGTATACGAGCTTGCCTTGTAACCGGAAGGTCCTGGGTTCGAATCCCAGTGGGTGCGTACTGCCGATGATTCCCAAACTAGGATGAAACAGCAGCTGTCCAGTACTCCTTGGTTTTCAATGGTTCTCTAGCTGATATCAGTCCGTGATCAACTCGTAAAAACATAACTAATCCTTACAAACCAAACTATAGATGAAATAACGTTACTTATTCACAATCATCCTATGTTCAAGTATCCATTTGAGTTCCTGACGGATAACACTTTTTTGTTCATTTGTTCTCCTAAAACCCACTTTAATGCCTATTTGAGTGCTTGGAAATGATGCTACACTTGTATTTCTAAGTGTTCATGAATGCATTTTAATGAGGAATTTTGTTTACCGTCAGGTGAATCAACGTAATACAGTTATTTTCTTTCTGACTATTAATCAGCTTTGAACTGTGTCAAGTTTATACAGTACATTGACATAGATATTATATATAGGTGTACGGGATCATATGGTTTATATGTGAAGTTATTTTTTTGAGGTTATACTAAAGGGGGCATTGCACCAATCAATATGTATCATTTCACTAGGGCTTTGTGTCCTGGCATAACTGTATGAATGTATCAATAGTCATAATAATAATAATAATAATACACCATTCAATAAGTGATTTATAACACTGATTATTTACTAAAGTTTTCCTGCTTACGTGTGTGTTGGACTTCTGACTTGACTTTATATACCACGAAATTTGCATTTTTCAAAAAAGTTAAACAAATCCGTGTTACAGCATGTAGATGTACTGATTCTTCGTCTTCTATGAAGTGCTTCTTTTTGTTAACCACTTTTTTTTCTTTCATTTAACTTTTCAGAGAAGGCTTGCTGAATTAGCTAAGAAGGCTGTTGCGCGCATACCTATTAAAACACTACATCCTGGAGATCGAGTAAGCATGTTTTACACTCCGTATATTAACCTTGTTACTAGTATCAGTTACTGTTATATATATATATATATATATATATATATATATATATAAGTTGAATGTTTTTTCTCATTAAAAGAAGAAATTTAACATGTTGAATTATATTAACCAAGCCGAACATGAATCATATTGCCTAGATGTTCATTTTGGGTGACTGAAAAAAATTTCAGTAGCATTTTGTTAAATGAAATAATAATAAATAACGTGTAAACTTTTGTAAAATGTAATTATGGAATATTTTAGAAATAAATCATACCGATATTTAAGACAAATGATTTCAAGCTTATATATATATATATATGTATATTAGTGCCTTATAGATGTGTGTACATAGTGCAATAAATACGCTTATAAAGTATTGATTATATGTAGACAGAAATTTCAGAAAATCTCTTGTCAAAATGTCCTCTTCGGTTTGCATGCTTTGTTATAATTCCTCATTTTGAAGAAAACGATTTTGAATTATAATAAATCGGTGACTGTGTAGCCTGTAAACACACATTAGGCTTTTAATTCTCTTACCCTCTTCTTTTTTTTTATGATAAATTTCTTTTTCTTTGTGTTCACTCATCTAAAGGTTAACCTAGTCGTATTAGTAGTAGTCAGTGTGTTGTCCAGTTAACGCGAAAGTAAATTTTGTTTAGCAAATTTTGGTTTTTAAAAATAAGTCAGTTTCTTCAAATAAATTTGGATGGCATTATTAAGAGACGAGGTTAATTTTAAAATGTTATCTATTGACACAATACATTTCAAACACTGTGATCACATACACTTGTCAAGTTAATTTATATAAAATTGAGAGAATAAAAATAGGTTAGTTATAATAAATCGAGAATTAGAGGAGTTGAATGCATAATAAGTAAGCTGTAAAACTATTCTGTCGGCAATACACGGACAATGACTACCAAAGTAAGTTATTTGATAGGAAATTATTTGCACGCCCACGCACACACACACAAACAGGACTGATTTTTGTTTATGTGAAAAGACAATGTTTCAGTAAGATCAATGTTAGGTTGACTCCTAAGCTTTTATTTAGTTAGAAACATTCATAGTCGTGTGGGGAGATTCACTGAAATGACAGTTATTCATAGGTTTACATTCTTTTTGTTCAGAAATAATTCGTTGTTGCAGCAATATCACTTGCACTGTGTTCCAAACTAAGCAATAGCATTGCACTAAATCCATTTTTCTAAAATCATTACTATGAGTCTCGAATGTCACACAGTGTTTTGAATATTGCAATGACATCTGATTTATTGACTAATGTTGAGTTGAGTGTAAATTGAGGTGAGTCGTTGCAGATTGATGCATTTCAAAGTGCCACATGGACAGGTAGATTCAACAAGAAAAACTTGGAAAACGTTGTAGAAACTCAAACTAAGTGAGGGAAAAGCTATTTTACCTCTGGAATAGCAATACAAGCTGATTAAATTCGTACCACTTAATTTTTAAGCAGACACGTAGGTGTTTGAATTTAAAAAAAATAAAATCGAATACCGTTTTCCTTCAAAAAAGACAGCTGAAATTTAACTAAAAATTTTACAAATTATTCAGAATCTGGTGGGTTTTATAATTAGTCTAATGTAAGGTGATGGATGCTGTAAGATTGGTCTACACTGAGTGAAGTGGTTGCGCGTTTTGATCACTTCACTTATTTGGGAAGTTGCATCAACCCAAATGAACTGACTGCTTACTAAATCTCAGCACGGATACAAAAGGTTCTTGTGGCATTTGCAAACTTGATTCGTCTCTGGCGTAGATATGATTTCCGACTATCGAACAAATGACTTATGTACTACGCATCAGTTCACTCTCTCCTTGTTTATGACTGTGAGAAATGGCCATTGAAAGTGGAAGGTATGAAATCACACTAGCTGTCTTTGACCACAGATGTTTGCATTCTATATCCCGTATTAAGTGGTATAATTAGACGAGTAATCTTACGATCATACTTAGTGTTAAGTAAGGAGGGCAAGTCAATCAATGAGACTGGCTACATCGATTGATGTGGCTACGTGTTACGCATGCCGGTTCACTGCCTTCATTAATGGGCAATGTTAGATGACATAGGATTAGATTGAAAAAGAGTTAGCAGTGGTCAAATCAGAACTTGGCATCAGTCTATAAAGTCTTTAACTGTTGGTTTGAGCCACGTAGGCAGATGTAGACCATCTGGTCGAGTTCCTCAGGATGCTAAGAACCAATGACTTGAGACTATTGATTATATGGCTCAAAGAAATAATTTTAGTGTAATCAAAATTGTTTTTATAAAACACAAGATAATAGAGCAAAGAATATCCTTTTCGACAAATTCCTCTTCTGGCTCTACAATCGAAAAGGATATTCTTTGCTCGATTATTTTGTGTTTTATAGATGTTTGAATGAAAATTGTTTTTGTTAAGATAACTCTAGTAAATTACGTACGTTCTAGCTCGACGCTAGTTTTTATAAGCATTTTCATTGGCAGTAGTATTAATACGTTTTGTTCCTTCCACCAATACCTGTAAACATTATGGTCTAAACGTTACTTGTAAGCATAATGTCTTTATTTTGATTTCTCATACAGGAAATAACTACAGAATATGAACAGTGTGCAATATGTATTGAAGCTTTTAGACCACTGGATAATATTCGTATTCTGCCTTGTCGGTAAGTTGTCAACTTTATTAAAGCAGATTAGTTGTAATTTGTTTCTTGAACGGAACATTTTTGGCTTGTCTAGCCTACTAACCCATTCTGGAAATTTTTCGTACTATGGTTTTTCAGTGGTGCAATATTGAATAAGCTCCACGTTTAATTATCTGACCGACTGGTTTCAACATAAAACTTTGCGCCGATGTGCAGCAGTTCGAGTAGCCACACTCCCTCCACGCAGTACAAAAAGCAAGAGAAGAGAGAAAACAGAAATTCAAAAGAGGGAGAGAGAGATAATAAACAAGTGTGACAGAAAAAGAATGATAATATGGTAGAACAATAGACTTTTATGGGATATGACAAATCACAAAGAGTGAATGTATCTGCACCAGTCATTGACAACGATTTTCAGCCATATCACCAATTGTCTCCAGCCTTCATTGGTTTTTACTATCCTGAGGACCCCAACCAGACAGCGATCTACACTTCCCTACGTGACTAGCTTAAACTTACTGTTGTGGATTTCATTGACTGATGAAGCCATGTTTTGGTCAAACCACCACTGGCTCTTATCAGGCGGTCAGAACTCCGTTACGTGGAACAAATTTCATCAAGGACTAATTGTATTTGATAAAACACAGATTTGTTTTGCGGCGATTTGATTGGTCACAGGTTTGGTCACGAGTTGACATCAGTCAGACAATCATTGGAAAACCTGAGGGTACTGGGCAGCTGTTTCGTCTTAGTTTGGGACTCTTCACACATTGGTAGAGTATTATTTACTGATGGCGTCTCGAGCACAATGCATCGCTCATAATCATATTGGAGGAGTATATATATATATATATATATATATATATATATATATATATATGATACCTATTGTCGTCGTTCAATCCTAGAATCTCTTCATTCATAATAAGAATTTTGTGGCCAAAGACCGTTGATCTCTTAAACTTTGATTTTTGATTGATCGTTCTGGCGAGTTGACTTAGATAAGTAAGCACTACAGTCATGTATGAATCCGTAAAGCCATTAACAAACTATTTCCCATATAAAGTCGTGTAAAATGTCACTTTAGGTAATTGTCAATTTTTTAGCCAATCAAAGTAGAATCGTTGGGTGATGTATACTGCTCATTTTAATGTTCATTTGGAAAGAGTTATATTTAGAACCTTGTATTTCCCAATGGGATGAAAAACAGAAACGATGTTGCTTTTGCTGATGTCTCACAATTCAGTGCTAATGGATTTTTCATAATATTAATACACCTGACTTGATCGTAGTTCTGTGTGATGTAATTTTGCATAGTCAAGTAAACAAAGTAGTAAACTAAAAAACATTCCTATTTTTGAGGAAAGTTTGTCTGTTTGGAAAGAATTTTGTTTTATCCTATGCTCTATACCTTGATTTATCTCCTTTTCAATTAACCATTGATAGTGTTTTGTTTTTAAATAATATTTTCTTTTCTTTTGTTACTGATCACGTGTTACAGGCATTATTTTCACAAAACATGTATCGATCCTTGGCTGCTAGAGCAACGTAGTTGTCCAATGTGTAAATTGGATATATTACAAGCGTATGGTTTTCGTGCAGAGTTGTTTTGCAGTTACGCCAATTTAGACAACCTAAATAATAGAGCAACATCTGGCTCTACGGTTGTTGTTTCTTCAGTTTCTACAACTTCACCTGGTCTAATGGCAGGCAGTTTATCCAACACAGGAGTGGATGATGAGGCTTCCGCGATGGAGAGTGTATCTTTGGTAACTAGTCAATCACAAGTTATGAATGATATTTTAACAGCTACATGTGGACCACCTCCTTTGACGTATGTTGTACTGGCTGGTACAAACGGTACTGCTAATGCTGCTGACTCAATAATAATTCATGCTCAGTCGTGTTCTAAAACCAATGAACAATTGAACCTTACAAATTCCATTTCATCTCATCTCATTCAGAGTAATAATATGAATCTACCTAGTCATAGTGTAAAGAATAGTATCGCCATTCCATTGTTATCAAACTTATCATTTCCCCCCAACCAGTTGACCGATCCATCTATGTGGAGTAAAAATCTCTTACCAGTGTGTGTAGTTACCTCTGTTACTCCATCTGAATCATATCAAGGAAGAGCGCTGATGGTTTGCGAATCTCTTCTTGGAAGTCTGTTAAGTCAAACGTGTTCTGCAGTGACTGCAACTATTGGTTTACCAAATGTCCATCCTACTGAACATTCATTTACACTATCCATGAATGCTAAGGAGGCTACAACTTCAACTACTCAGTCTCTAATGGGTCCATTATGTTCAACGACACTTGATTCAGAGGTATGTTTCTTATATTTCATAATATTAATTTATCATTTCAGAAAACACCATTATTTATTATTATTATTACTATTATTATGAAAAGTTAAAAAAAAGTTAGGTTTCCAGGTAGTTAGCATAAGACTACACTTTTTAATTCCTATTTGCCCCGAAGAGTTAGTTAAGTACGAAGTTTATGTACAGTTAGTTAGCTGTGATAGATACACAGCTAGTTCACTTGAAAACTAACGATTTTAAGGTGCATTGATATACAACGGCCAAGTAAGTCTTCAATCAAGTGACAACAATAATTACAACTTTTATTCACATACGCTGTTGCTGACATATTCACGGTATTATTTCTTGGGATTAAAGCAAGTCAATCTGCACAATGAATGAATTCAATAGTATATTAAATATAATATAATTTGCAAAATATCACCATGGACTTTTATAAACTGAGATTGCAATCCGCCTGATGAGAAAAGATCTTTATTGTTGGCATCAAGCAGCATGATGTGCTATGCAGGTCATTCGTAGTGTCGAGCATAGCGATGTAGCGTAACCTTCACAATCAGATATGCAAACAAATGTATGGAATACTTTCACAATTGAGTTGTATGTAACTGTCATTCTCACGATGAACTGAGAGTGTTGTGGATAATAGATAGTATCAGTCTATTCAAGCAGCTAGTTAGTGTAGACATTTTTTTTCACTTCTAGTACGATACACTCCCAAAGAAAGTCGTTCCGTAAAATATGAAATGGTTGGTTTGATGCTCCGGCATCAATCTGGTTAGTAAGGCATAGACATTATTATGTACTGTCTCTAGCCCCCTCTATCACTCATAGTATAAAGTCGCACAGTGTTATACAGTAATATTTACTGATGATGTTTTGAGCACAATTTATTGCTCATAATCATATCAAGGTACCCACACAACTTTCTTGCTTCGTTTATATACATGCATAAAAATTGATTCTGTCTAATATGAATAAAATCAATAAAAGTTCAATAGACTTGAGTGAAACAGAAAGGAAGATAAAGTGCATTCAGAAATAATATCAGTGTTATCAATAAAACACAATAGGATGGCAAATAAGACTGGTGTCGTTAGTCGATAAGATTGGAGTTAGGATGTTTTTATAGTAAAATAAATAACTTGATAGAATGTTATACTGTGGATTGAAATACATTTTAACATTATTCATTATCCTCTGATTTGACTCGTGATAATATCTTCCATATCTCTGGTATTTGCGTTGAGTCACTTTTATTACATGTGTTAGATGTAGACTTGATGAACCAGGATTCAGTAATCAATCTCTCTCTCTCTCCACCTACCGATATTACATTTCAGAATTTTGACTCTGTCCCACTCTGTTGTGTGGTTGTGTGTTAACGCATGCAGTGCAGTTGCTAAGTTTCTTTTCTAAATTACTTTGTGGGGTCAATCATTCTGACCTTAGCTAAATTCTTATGTTCTGACAATCTGACTACTCCGGATCATTCAGCATAACTCGTTGCGTAATTGTAATACGACATACAAGCCCAGTAAAATAGTAGTTGTCAGTTGGTTTAAACATGAGAAACGACAATCAGATATGAACACGTCAACTATTATAAAAACAATGAGATGAGAAAAATGCAATAAAAGCAATAAAGACGTGTAACAAAACTTTGCTGACTTATTAGAAAATTAGTTGTGGATGAATTCACGATACTGAAGTCAACTTTGAACAGTATCATCTCCAACCAATTAGTTCACACAATTTTATACGGCTCAGATCAACAGCAAGGATGTAGTTGCGTTAATGTCTTATTTTTTTACTTTTTGGTACTCTTAATTGCCTTCTAATCTAATGTCACACCCTAGTAAACGTTGTAAATTCAGCTGGACGATGAATCAAATTTGTAACAGATGCTTTTTAATCAGCCAAGTTGATGATAATTCAGAAGTTTGGCAAGTACTCTACATGTAACTTCCTCATGCTTCATACAATGTTCCCATCACTGAATACCACTTTTAGCGAGTAATCAGATGGTTCTCTCAATAAGCAGTAGGATATTCCATGAGCATTGCAAACCAATTCAGACACTTGCACTCAAGCGAAAATATAACCAGCCAAGCAAGCAAAATGAGATTTGAAATCACTACTAAGAGGTCGATAGATAACAGGCTATGGTAAAAAAATGTTATAACTTCACACTTGTCCGACATTGCATGCAAAAAATAAAATATGATATATGATGTGCATTTGCACAGATTGTTCAACCAAAGTTTCCTAAATGTTACAAAATTTGAAAACTTATCACATGCTAAGAGATTAGATGCACCATTTAGGTTTATCATTGCTATTTAGTATAAATGCTACCTGAATCATTTTATCAGTGCAGAGGCAAACCATTTGGGTGGCCTTTACACCTTATGTCTTAAAATTATGCATAATTATTGTGGTATCACTGCCTTATCACAGCGCATCTGAAAATGAGAAAGTGTTAGTAAATAATAGTTTAACTGATAGAAAAAAAAACAGTACAGGGAGTGTTGTACTGTGTCGATTCATGGAGAAAATTTAAGGAAAAGACAAGACTCTAGTCTGTTTGCACTAATCTGAGTCGCTAGATAACTGCTAAATTGGACTAAGTTGAAAAGGAGTTAGGATAATCAGAATAAAACTTGGCACTAATCCATGAATTCATTTACTGTTGATCTGCGCAACGTAAGGAGGTTTAAATTTTATGATTAGAGACCTCAAAATACTAGGTATTTATGGTTAGAAACTCTGTTACGCAGCTTAAGATCGTTTCCAATGTCGCAGATGTGTTAACTCTTTGTCATCTTCCAGATTCTGTAAGTGTTCGACAGTCTTCATTGAATGATTCTTTCGGATATCTCCGTCCATTGTATAATTTCATTACATTTGTTCTCTCTACTTGTACATATGCTTGTCTTAATTCCGGCAACTTGAACTAACGGTGAAATTTTCTATGTTAAAATATTTGGTCATAATGGAAAGAAAGCATGACAAAATGAAATTAAGTCTAAAAAAGGTATATTATTATGAGGAAGCACGCATAACACCAGTTGGCATACTACAACCTAGAGTCTAAACTGTACTATAAAAGAGTGAGTCCTTGTATTCCATAATAAAGATGCCAATTAAAGACAAGGGAAAAAGATTTATAGAGTCTTGTTGGTGTCGTGGAAGTGTCAGATGAACAGTGTTTACTTAAGGAGTGATGTTCTAATTCAAAGAGAAACACTAGCAGGTGTAAATTCACAAGCTGCATCAAACAAAACGGTTAAAGAATACATTAAGTATACTATGTTATGATTGCTATACTACACTTCACTTGACATCAGAATAATATGGGGAACATTCATTAGCAAACATGAAGTAAATGGCTGCTGTTCTTAGTCTCATGTGAAAATTTGCAAGTATTGTCAGTAATTAAACGAATGGAACATATGTCTCAAGTTAAGATGTTAATTCTCACCTTAATATTTATATTCTCAGTAACCTACTAGTTCTGTTTTATAGTTAGGTACGACAACTAATTTATATATATATATATATATATATATTTATATAGGAACTGTGACTCATTGGTCTTGGTGACCGATTTTCAACCAGTGAGCCACGGTTTCGAACTCTGCTCCACACACCAAGGTTCGGGCAACGCCTGTTAGTATAACCAGCCCTTACACAATAGGGGCATGGCTCATTGCCAACTGCTTGAAATTGCAAAAGGTTTTTGAGTAACATTTCATTTTCATTTTTCCTCAGTATTTCACTGGTTGTTTTAAAGAGCTGTTTTGTAAAATATTAACATACTTCAACCATATACTTAAAAGTTTTCATAATGTAATTGTACTACTAAATAGTTTTGTTCGATTGGTCTCTGGGTAGAAGTAGTTCCACTAAGATATTTAGTACTGAAATGATTCATACTTTTCGTGATTACTCTGTATTTATATGGTATAGCACTGAGGATTGAATCATGTCACTAAATTGTCATAATCAACGAAGTATTAAAAAATGTACAATTGTTTAAGCATGCATAAAGTGAACATTATCCCACTTTCATCCACTGAATAGAGAAAAATTTGGCTGTATACTTAAATAAATTCCCATTCACCCATGAATGTTTCCCATTTTATCCTAGGTAGTTTGCGGTTGTAAATTCATTAACTTTCTATACGAACTTTTATCAAAGATTCGAACGAATAATTCCACAAGAAATTGAGCACTGAGACATGTTTGTTGATTGTAACGTTGGAATTATTTGTGACAAATTTGTTGAGATTTTTACAAATATCGTTTTTATATACGCCTTATTAGTCTTTTTTTAAACTGCTTAATGAAGCATTCACTTTTATTTATCTCTATTCTGAAGACGGTAAATTAATAGGTGTTCACTCTACTGCCTTTCTCCTCGGTCAATTATTATTATTATTATTTTTGATTGATCGCATGCTGGTAGTAACGCTGTATTCTAGTTATAGAATTTCATCATGAGCTGATATTAGTTAGAGAACCATTGAAAAACCTGGGAGTACTGGACAGCTGTTTCGTCCTAGTTTGGGACTTCATCGGTGCGCACCCACCGGGGTTGGAACCTAGGACCTTCTGGTTACAAGGCGAACTCGTTGACCATTAAGCCACTGGGACCCGATCCAATGGCCCATGAATTCTAACTTCTGCCAATTCACGACATAACACGACCACTAGCCAATGTCTTCGGCGAGTATTTGTCCTCACACCCGACCTGCTGCACCCTACTGGTCACCATACCATCATTCACATCAACCAGTACTACTTGCTATCCAGAGTAGCTAGCCAGATTTTGGGTGGTTTGCTCTAAGTTGAGTTCAAACCGGGTACACTGCTGATGAGCTTGGCCCCAAATGAGTGAAATAGCCATGCAGTGTTTGTGAATTGGCTTCTATCTGGTTTGCTTTCTTGATCAGCATGAAACAGATCCCACACCGTGATTTGAATAATTTCGGTTTCTA